ATAATAAACCTCTTAAGACCCGGTGTCCACATGCGAGGACATCACATTTTGGGTTATATTACCACAGTAGTAATTTTTTAATTTTATTTTTTGTACATAATTCTAATTGTGTTATGTTTCCTACTCTGATGCTTCTTATTCGTTTTTATTGGCCTCAGCACCTTCGGAATGATCTAAAACCGTCTCACAAAGCTCTGGTGGAGTTTCTGCATTCACAAAAATCAGGTGGAAATCCTGAATCTTTTAGATCGGAGGTCGTTAAAGGAGCAGATCGATGCTCTAAGTGTTTTTCTTTTGCAGTAAGTGGATGCAGGCGTCCACATTGGGGCCTTATAGCAACACTGCGCTTGTTACCTGTCTTTGAACGTGGCAGCGTCTTCTGTTTCTCGTTCTCATCTTCCTCTTTCCTCTGGAACAGGGTGCCGATGTTCTTCAGAGGAGAGGTGACCGGAGAGCCGGAGCTCAGACCTGAAGAGGAAAAGAAAGTTTCATGAAAAGTTTGCCTCCACAGTTTCACAATCTAAAAATCAGACGGTAAAAGAAGTGAATCGTGAAAGTGAAAAGGTTTCTTGGGGCTCGTATTTACATTCGTCTGATAGCGTTGTGTCCTCGCAGCGACCTGTTGGACCGACTGAGGAATGCAAAGATTAACTGGCGGTGAAAACAGAGCGGGCGGGTTTGGAAAAGCTCCAGCGAGTAAAAGCGAAAGTCCTGAGCAGCGTGTCCTTACTACTGCTGACAGATGGAACGGTTTAAACAGAAAACACATGACTGGCAGTAAATTAAAGCACTGAGTGACTGGAAGCTTCGCTAAGCGCTGCAGGAACTTCAAAATGACCAAATGAACTGCTGCGACTAGAGAAACCAGAGAATCCCCTCAGCCTGCCTGACTGGTGTAGATTTACTCAAGTCCTCTTGTGTCCAGTGAAGCATAATTGTAAGGTTTTGCACATTGCTTGAGCATTTTTTTCACTTTGTTCTACTTTCTACTTCAACTTTACTACATTTGTGGGAAGATTGACCAAAATTAGCAACATTTGTCCGCTAAAATCTAATCTGTTCATCCTGAAATTCAAGTGAATTTTCCGAAAATCTCCTTAAATGAAGCCTTTTTCTCAAAATTATTCCCAGAGTGACACAAGTTGATCAGCACATTTAATTATTCTAAATGTACTCAAGTCCTCTATGCTCTACTTTAGTATAAATCTAAGGTTTTCTACTTCACTTAAGCATTTTAAACTTTACTCTGCTTCGACTCCACTACATTTCAGAGAGATTTGTGTGAAAATGTCTCGTAATTATCGCATGAATTCTTTAGTTATGACTGAAAATGTTTTTTTTTTTTTAAAGCCGCAGTGACATTTGTCCACCAAAAACTGATCTGTTTATCCTGAAATTCAAGGGAATCTTCCAAAACAATCTCATTAATTGAAGCCAGATTCTGCCTTTTTCTCAAAACTATTCCCCGAGTGACACAAATTGATCAGCACGTTTAATCATTCTAAACGTATTTGAGCTTGTTTAACTTTATTCTGCTTCAGCTTCACATTTCAGAGAGATTTGTGTGAAAATTTTTCAGAATTATCGCATGAATTTGTATTTTTTTTTAAAGCTGCAGTGACATTTGTCCACCAAAATCTATTGTGTTCATCCTGGAATCCAAATGAAAATCCCTGAAATCTCGTGTTTAACAGGACGAGACGAACCCACGATAAACGATGAAGCGGTCCGACCTCCTGAGCTTTAATAACAGCTCATAAAACACGACAAAGTGGAGCTACATGGAGCCAGATTGCGCCTTAAGGATGCAATTTAACCTACATTTTCTCAGGTCCTTCCTCTAAAGTAATTTAAATGAAACACTACGATGGAAAATCTTTTTTTTTTTATATGCCACAACCCTGAAAGCTCTCGAATCACTCGTGCAGGAGAAATTCAACAACATATTCAAGCAGCATTCATTAAAAATCTGAAACTTGAGTAAAGGCCTGAAGGGCAGACTGTCAATCATGCACAGTGCAGCTGACTTTAAATTATACATTTAACTCAACTTTATTGGTTCGCAGCCTGCTGAGACCTAAAGGGATAAAAGATCGAACCCAGCATCCGATCACTCACAACCTGGAGCTGATAAACCAGGAGACGGGCTTCTTTCGCCCACAAACACATTTTAAAGTCAAATTTTTATGCACAAAACAACAGGAACAGAGTTTTGTGTTGCTTATTTATAGTAAGAGAAAAGTCTGAGAGTTTGTTGGACCAACTTCAATGAACTGCTTCAACTAATAACACGCAAATAAATTAAAAACTGAGCTAGCAACTTATGCTGATTTAACTTAGAGACACTTAAATTATTTGATTCCTCCTAAATGAACACAGAAAGTCAGCTGGATTTTCAAATATTTCCAGCTTAGTTATTCACTTTACCCACAAACAAATTTGTCAAACATGATTATGTCATCAAATTTGCTTTTTTAGTCTGTAGTCCTGCTCTTTTTTTTAAAAAAACGCGGTTGAGTTGAAGCAAAAAATGTTGATTAAATGCGGACATTATGGGACAAAGTGTAATGTCAAGATGACAGATGTGCATGCAAAGATTTATTCAAAACATTTCAAGCTGAAATACACTTTTTACAGTGTGTGTTTCTGTTTGTTTTTCTGTTAACATTGTGAGAAAATATCACATTTTATGACATATAATGTGAAACTGAAAAGTTTCCCCAGTTTGCATCAGTCTTTATGAGTTTTGACAGCTTATTTGTATTTTTAATGCCCAGAATTGATGATTTTTAGATGTTCTCTTTTATTGAAGTTCTCTTTTACATTTTCGGCCGTTTCTTTTCCCTCTTACATCAGTACTGCCTGCTGTCTGTCCATCTTTTCTCTTTCTTAATCTACTTTCATCTTTAGGTTTTATCTTCATTCCCCTCTGTGATGTTGTCTTTTAATCACTAGTTTTATTATAATACGCCTTCCAATAGTGACCCAGCCTGTTCTTTTTCATTTTTATTGTGTGTATTCTGTTCTTAAAGGTGCTATACTAATAAAGTTTATTATTATTATTATTATTATNACCATAATCACTCAGGAGAAGTTACGAGGTCATGCCACTAAAAATAGATCAACTCAACTTCCTGTATCATCAAAGCTGATCATTCAAGTTGCTGTATGAATAGTTTTGACACAGCAGATTTTTCCACAAGACCTGCAATAAATCTATGAAAGAACCAAAATGCAGGAATGTTTTTTGTGTTCCAGTGATTCCATCGTAGACAATTCAGAGCTGAAGGAGTCACTGGAAACTCAAGAAAAGCATGACATACACAGTGTTTATAAGCTGACGGTAACTTCTGCTCACGACTGTATGTAGTTACTTTAATATGTCACTTTCAGTTAAACAGATGAAAAATAGAAAAGCTACGAAGCCTTTCAAGTCTTTTTTTTCTTTACTGTGTTACTTCTCCTCTGTGGTGACTGTCCTCGTACCTCTTTGTTGCAAATAAACAGCATTTTGGGAAGAACGGTGGATGAACCCTCCATAGTCTCGTTTTCTATCAAGCAAACCCTCCAGGGATAAACCAAACGCCTCGTACCGTACAGTTTTGTTCAATCAATCAATCAGACTGAGCATGCGCGGAAGTGTAGCGTGAAAACTCCGAGAGCACGCAGCTCCCACTTCAAACTTTTAATGAGAACTCAAGTTAATATGCATAGATTAAGTACTTCAGTCTTCGCTTAAATGCTTTAAACATACAGTGAATGTAATGCCGGCAAAGAAACCCAAGAAGAATTGCGGAATGTCTTTAAGGCTTGAGGTGATCTGATGGTGTGATAATGCCAATAAGGAGGAAGAATTGGACTATACAGTAATTATTTTGGAATTAAATGTTGCTTAGTTAAATTACATATTCTTGGAGGCCAAATGTCATTGATGTTAAGGAATCATTGATACATTAAATTCATTATTGTTCTTTATATTTATATATACTGGACATCTATGTTAATTTGTTTGTTTAAAATTTTGATTAATGAGAGACATGGCCTGAAGGAAATATGATTTGAATTTAGTTCTAATGAGGATTACTCAGATTATTCAGTTTCTGCAATTATGTGTGGGAGCTGCTAGTATGTTCTCACAAGGTGTGGTGAGGGGAATGCATGGATGGTGGATTGTGGGTATCTGACTGTGTGAATGTGTGTGTGATTGTGTGTGTGTGGTGTGAGTTATATGTAGGGTTATTTTTGGTAATAAAACTGAAAGGAAGGGAGAGTAAGATACAAATTAAAACAAAGTCATGATCTTGACACAGTTGCCAAGGAAAGGGTTAAAATTAGCACATATAAATATTTGTAGTCTAAGAAATAAACTGAATGAGATAAGTGAGATATTATCATGTGGTGTTCATTTGTTAGCAATTTCTGAAACTCATTTAGATGACACATTTAATGACTCTGCACTTGATATTCAGGGGTACAGTATATATAGAAGAGACAGGAATGCACATGGGGGTGGAGTAGCAGTATTCATTCAGAATCACATACCAGTAAAAGTAAGATATGATTTAATGCCGGCTGACATTGAAGTTCTTTGGTTGCAAATAAATTTACCACATTTTAAACCTATGCTGGTAGGATGCTGCTACAGACCTCCAAATGTAAAGATAATGTATTTAGATAAATTGTGTGAAATGTTAGACAAAGTGTGTGATCTTGACAATGAGATCTATTTTCTGGGTGATTTAAATATTGATTGGAATGTGTTGCACTGTGCACTTAGAGGAAAACTGCAAGCAATAACTAATGCATGTAATCTGGTGCAAATGGTGGATAAACCGACAAGAGTGTGTGTTAAGAAAGATGGATCTAAAACTGCAACATGNCAGACCAGACCGAAAATGAGCCCACAGTGAGTAAAAATGGCCCCAAAAACTACTTGGGATGCAGAGAATTAGGACCAGTTAATGAAATAAAGTTCCAGCTATTTAAAGTGTTGTGGTTTCAGTGGGATAACGTAGTCGTTCATTTGGAATCCACCTCTACAGGTTTTACAGTTCCCCGAAACTTCCACCAGACAAACAGGAAGTGTGGCTGGTAAACACCCAAACAGTCGCCTGTTTAATTAACACTCTATAAAGTAATAACTAAAGGGACCTGTTCTCCAGCCACTTAATTAGATACAAGATTTAAAAATACGATTTGCTGATTTCAATAAAACTTTCTTATTTCCATATCGTGTGTAATTTAAACTCAGATTTCTGCGTTAGTGGATTTAAAACAAAAGTCAAGTTGAGGCAACTTAATGAAATCGGTTGAGTTGGAGAATCCTTTACTTTTGGCTGAATGTGTTTTGTCTGTGGTTAAAAACTCGTTTAACATTTCCTGAAATAACCCCACGAATGAACGAACGCTACTAAAAATAATCACAATAATATGAGTAGAATCCACTTCAGAGGACAAACAGAGACAAGTTCCTGCACCCACAGGTTTACTTTTTAAGTGCAGTAGTGCTTGAATTTTTCTTATCTGGAACTATTTGTTTTCTTGCTCTTTCTGCAGCAGTCTTTTTTTTTTTTTTCCCACACAACTGCTCCTTCCACCCACACACACATATATACGATAGCACCCACAGCTGAGTGGAACGAGTTCGCACACGTTTTCTGGTGGGTGTTCTGGAAAATGTAGACAATTCAAGGAGAAGCATACAAGGTAGGACGGCATAACATTTAACTCTGTACAAAACATGGCAGATTTCTTGCTGTACATCAGGCTGCAGTACATAGACAAAGCATTCACCCTTCTTGGAATTTTGTTTTTCCTTTTATTGCCTTTCAGTTTTGAGTCATGGCCAAAATAATTCCTTCGTGTCAAAATGAAAACAGATTTCTACATACAAAGTAATGTAAAATAAAGGATTGTGTAAGTGTTCACCTCCTGTAAAGCCACTCGCCTAATTCAGCTCAACACAAGAACATCTGGAAGTCACCGATCATCCAGGAGTCCAGTTTGATCCATCATTAGGACAAGGAAGGAATGTGGCACGAGTCAAACTGAGTCCTCACAAACTGAGTGACTGAGCAAGAAAGACACTAGGGAAGGAGGCCACCAAGATGCCTATGACTCCTCTGGAGGAGCTACAAGAAGGAGACTAGTGAAGGAGGCCGCCAAGACGCCTATGACTCCTTTGAAGGAGGTACAAGAAGGAGACTAGTGAGGGAGGCCACCAAGACACCTATGACTCCTCTAAAGACAACCAGGTGAATGTTCTGGAGGCCCAGTCAGAGTCCAGACCTCAACCCAAGAAGTAGTCTGGACTTGAAAAGATGACCCAGGGTCCCTGTGTGACCTGACAGAGTTTGAACAGTTTTCACTCTGATAGTAAAGAGTCTTTACTTTTTAGTCAGTCGTCTCAGCCACAAAACACCAGATCTCACCTCTTCTTCTTCTGACCTTGAGGGGTCATGTTATTGTCCCTACCTGCAGAGTTTACGAAGACTTTATACTCACTGGGTGACGGAGGTGGTGGCGAGGAGGCGACTTCTTTGCCCGTTGCGTCCTTTTTAGGCGTCCCCTTCGGCCCTTTGACTCGGGGTGAGATCTGACTCTTTGCTGCAACTCGTCGGATGCTACTCCTGAAACTCTTCAGGATTCCAGGCTGCTTCTTCTTGACGTCACCATTGGTCGACGTCTTCCCATTGCTCTTGAGGGACACGTTGTCCTCGACGGGGTTTCCACCGGGCCCATCGTCTGCCTCATTGTCATCGAAGGGGTTTCCACCAGGAGCATCATCCGTCACGTTGTCCTCAAAGGGGTTTCCACCAGGACCATCATCCGCCACGTTGTCCTCAAAGGGGTTTCCACCGGGCCCATCGTCCGCCACGTTGTCCTTGAAGGGGTTTCCGTCGGGCGAATCATCCACTACGTTGTCCTCGAAGGGGTTTCCACCGGGCCCATCGTCCGCCACGTTGTCCTCGAAGGGGTTTCCACCAGGAGCATCATCCGTCATGTCTGACATCTCGTCCTGTCGAAAAACATCCAACTGAGGGGGAAAAAAAACACCAATAGAAGGTTAAAATCTGACAGGACCTGCTGCTCTGCAAGTCAGAGCATTAATCAGCAGCTCAGGTGTGTTTCTGGGGGTTGTGGGAGGCGACAGGTGGGGCAGCTTTGTTTACTGACAACACCACAGCCAGCAGTTCTTGTAACAAGGCCAGAGAAAGTGCAGACGAAAACGAAACTGTGAATCTGGTTTAACAGCAACAGACTTTGGGAAAATACGTCGACCTCGTTGTAAAAACTTGCTCTGTTGCTTTGTTTTGTAGTTTCAGTTTTGATTTCTTAGTAAAACTTGTCAACACACTGTCATCTGACTATCGATCGCCCGTGATCCAGATAAGAGGGGATCTGATTAAAAAGAGCAGCTGCACTGATAGTAAATCATAATAAAAGCGTAACTGAGCTGCTCCATCGAGGCGCGTTCTGACTGTGAGAAATGAAAGCATCACAGACGACACCACGTCCTCCCAAACATGCTTCATCTGCAAAACCGAGTTGATTAATCAGCATATAAAGAGTAACGGTTTGACTTGTCCAAGGAAAACGTCACATTTGCTGTTTGTAGTCTTTTAAACATGAAGATTTGAT